CCCCCCCTCCTCTGGATCACCTAAAAGTGTGTTTTTTAGGTTTTATTGTAACCTGTAAACTGCTGTATTTGAATCACCTGCCGTTCTCCCAAAGCCCAGCTGCCAGGATGTTATAGTGAGGCTTAAAATAATGCTGTGGGGGGGAAGAGCTCAGAGCTTCACCTTTGGTTTCTCCTCTTCAGCTGTCTGAAACCAAAGCACGGCTGGTTGGGGAAGGGGGTTCTTTCCTCCTGTGGAAGGAAGGTCTCGTGACTAAGGAGAAGAAATTGGGAAAGACTGTTCCTGACTAGCGGTGTAACTTGGGCCAGTTACTAACCTTACTGTGCCTCATCTGTAAAGTGGGGGTAGTGTAGGCTGGATTTGTGAGGTTATGATGGGGCTTAGTTCATGTTTGCTAAAGCACTTCTTGGGTCTCTGGCTGGAAAGGGGCTGTGGAAGGTGAAATATTACATGGAAATACCTGGCAGCTCTGTGGTAACAGCCAGAGCAGCCCAGGGAGTGGTGTTTGGAGCTGCTTCTCCAGAGTGCTGCAGCCACATCTCCTCCGACGTCTGGTTGTGCTTTTTCAGCTTGGCAGGTGCGTTAGAAGGTCCAGGGGCGAGTGTGTCAGAAACCAGCTGGGGCTTAGGCTGGAACCATGGGTTGCTGTCCCACCTAACCCTGCTGCGGTGCTTCGCTGCCCTGCTGGGGTCACTGAAACTCTTTCTCACCAGTTTCCCATAGGAATGAACCTCGGTTTGTGGTTGTGAGACCTCAGGGAGCTGTGGAAGCACGAGAGCTAAAGCTGTGTCAGCTGGGCTGAGCGCAGCTCTCGGAGTCAAGAACCCTGACACATTTGTCTTGTCATCTTTGAGACTGATTTGACTTAAAATGGACATTTCTAAGCTGCGTGTGTTTGTCTTGCTGAAAAGGTCAACTTCACCTGGCCCTGCTCAGAGGACAAAAAATGGTTGTGAAGTGTCAGAGAGGGGCAAGAAGGTGCTTCTGGCACTTCCACTCCGTGTGTGACACCCGCAGACGGTGTCATCGTGTGCCTCTGTGTGTGACACCCGCAGACCATCGTGTGCCTCGGTGTGTGACACCCACAGACAGTGTCATCGTGTGCCTCGGTGTGTGACACCCGCAGACCATCGTGTGCCTCGGTTTCCCTGTCCGGGGAGTCTTTATCCTACCTCACTGCTAGCTGAGGCCTGTGTCAGTGACATTTGTCACACATGGCAGAGGGTGCTGAGCAGAGATCGTTAATCACTTACCTCCTGAGCGAGACCCGGAGCTGTCCTGGGCTTGTCTGGTTTCTGGGATGCTACATGGATGCTCCTCTGCCAAATCATGACTTTGGGTGGCAGCTGCCGCCCTGCGTGTCCAGAGCGCCTGTGATTTGATTTCAGAGGCAGTTTTAGGGCGCGGGGAGGGAGAGGGGTGAGAGCTGGGGACACCCCGGCCATGGCCCATCC